TTAAAAATTTTTATTTGTTTTGCTTTTAAGAAACATATTTATTTTATTTTTTTTATTTTTTAGAGACAGAGTATTGTTCTGTCACCCAGGCTGGAGTGCAATGGCTCGATCTTGGCTCACTGTAACCTCCACCCCTGGGGTTCAGGCGATTCTCCTGCCTCAGCCTCCTGAGTAGCTGGGATTACAGGCATGCTCCACCATGCCCAGCTAATTTTTTTTTTGTATTTTTAGTAGAGATGGGGTTTCACCATGTTGACCAGGATGGTCTGGATCTCTTGACCTCGTGACCTCTCTCTCTTTTTTTAAAGTATTTTATTTAATTTAATTAATTAATTTATTTATTTATTTTGAGACTCGAGTTTTGCTCTTGTTTCCCAGGCTGGAGTACAGTGGGTCAATCTCAGCTCACTGCAACCTCCACCTTCCGGTTTCAAGTGATTCTCCTGCCTAAGCCTACCAAGCAGCTGGGATTACAGAAGCCTGCCACCAGGCCTGGCTAATTTTTGTATTTTTAGTAGAGACAATGTTTCACCATGTTGGCCAGGCTAGTCTTAAACTCCTGACCTTGTGATCTGCCCACTTCAGCCTCCCAAGGTACTGGGATTACAAGCGTGAGCCACCTCGCCCAGGTTCAAGGGAGACTCCTGCCTCAGCCTCCGGAGTAGCTGGGACTACAGGTATGTGCCACCATGCCCAGCTAATTTTGTATTTTTAGTAGAGACAGGTTTTCTCCATGTTGTTCAGGCTGGTATCAAACTCCCAACCTCAGGTGATCCGCCTGCCTCAGCCTCCCAAAGTGCTGGAATTACATGCATGAGTCACCATGCCCGGTCTTCCTCTTTCTAACAGAATGAATAGTCCAGAGAGCTGGGACAATATTAGATGAGAGAACCTGAGGCCTGGATCAGAGTTAGTGGTGGTAGTGAGGCACAGGAGAAAAGGGAAAGGACGAGAGTTCCGTGGGAGCATCAAGTGTGGCACAGGGGGCCAGGCGCAGTGGCTCATGCCTGTAATCCCAGGGCTTTGGGAGTCCAAGGGAGGGTTGCTCTAGGACAGGAGTTTGAGACCAGCCTGGGCAACACAGTGAGACGCCATCTCTACAAAAAATTAATAATTAGTGGGGCGTGGTGGCATACGCCTGTCATCCCAGCTACTCAGGAGGCTGAGGTGGGAGGATCACTTGAGCCCAAGAGGTTGAGGCTGCAGTGAGCTGTGATCACACCACTACTCTGGGCAACAGAGCAAGACCCTGTCTCTAGGGCAAAAAAAAGTGCAACATGGGGCTGTGGGTACAGAGCCTGAGTCCAGGCTTGGGGGCTGAGGATGGCCCTCCTAGTGTGTGAGGCTGGTGAGGGGGAAAGCTCATGCCGAGGCTGCTATCCTGCCTACAGGCAAACAGATCTAGGGGTCCTCTGTCAGCTGCAAGGGTCACAATTCCAGGGAGGTGGCATGGGGAGCAGAGCCCATTGTCCCCTTCCTGAGGGACCACCGCCCACCCACTGTCCTCAACACAGGAGAAAGAAGGCTGGCTCAGCCGGTGGGTCTGCCACCCTGATGTTAGTGTAAGGCACAGCCTGCCTCTCTAGGACCTGGGAACTTGGGATGCCCAGGGCTTCTCTATAGAAAGAATTATCTGGAGGGGCTTAAGGGTCCAAGGAGAAGTGGACCTGGTGTTTCCAGGGCAACCTGTGCTGGGCCTCAGACTGAACAAGAAAGAATGGAGGTCTGCCCCAGGCACTGTTTTGTGTCCTTACGTGCCTCAGTTTCCCCATCTGAGGCTATCCTGGGGCGCTGGAAAGGGAGCCTCTGCAGTGGACCCAGCCGCTGCTCCCTGATTGTCCCGCCAGGCTCCCTCCCAGCACTGGCCTCCCAGGAATGTGCTTCTCAGCCCCCAATCTGGGCGCCTGCCTTATCGGCCCCCAATCGAAGGGGAGACAGACACCCCTGTCAACAGTGGCAGCCCCTCCTGTTAGCCCCAGCCTGACCCTGAGTTGAGGGCCAGCCAGCGCCTGCTAAGTGCCTGGAGGAGGAATACCTCCCCTTCCCCATGCTGACATGAAATCCGACCTCCTGCACTGGCTCCTTTGTGCCCGCCAGGCGCCCGCCCTGGCGTCAGAGGCCCTGAGTCCCCGCCCTGCTGCACACTGCGGCTGCCAGGGTGGGATCTGCTCTGCCTGGCCTGCTTCCAACATGACCTTAGCCTGCTTTGTTGGAAAATGTAGGCTGTCTGTGGGGGTCCACTCAGCCTGCCCCCAGCCCCCAACCCCTGAGCGTCTCGGCTCAACCCCTGCCGTATGAGGCCAGACCTTCTCCTCACTTCTGAAGGAAATGCCCATCCCTCCAGCACTCCAGGCTCTCCCCATCCCCGCCAGAGCAGGGAGGAAGGCTCCTGAACCCACTCTCATCAGGTGCTGGTCTCACCCCACTCCCTAGGGAACCCCTCTCCACGCCCTGTGGGACCCTCACACTCTTGGGATGCACCTGAGAACCTTTTCAGCCAGTCCTCCCTCTTGGCCAGTTCGTCTCCTCGGGGCACCTCAGGGCCCTGTCCAGAGCATCCCTTGGCCTCCACGCTTCCCTCCAAGGCTGCACTCCCCTTGCTTGTGAAGGCTCATCCATTTGCATGCCTGCCTCTCCCTCCTGCCTGCCATTATCCTGGTTACCAGGAGCCTTGGCATAGCTGCAACTCACAGTCCCTTCCCCGGCCATGTCTCCCTTGATTCTCACTGCCTGGTTCCTGAAGCCCTTTCCTGGCTCAGCCTCCCTGGGCCTCCCCAGCTGGGGCTGCCTTCTCTCCCTAGCTACTGCATCAGGCTACCCAGGCCTGGCCTCTTTTCTCCATTGGCCCTTGAGCATCTCACACATGCCCAAAGCTACAAATGCCATTGATCTACTACTGATTTGGACTGTCTGCTCCAACCTCTACCCCAGCATCACACTCAGATTTTTCCAAGCAATGGCATGCAGATGCCTCAAATTCAATGAGGCCATAACAGTACCCTCCATCCCCCTCACCTTCTCCCATGAGCTCAACTCAAAAAGACCACCACCATCCATCCACTCTGTGGCTCAGGCCTCTGAATCCACTTAGCCACCCCTCTCACAACCCTGTCCCATCTGTAGGCAAACCCACATCCCATCCCTCCTCATCCTGCAGGTTCTGCCCTCCCCAAGTCATCACTGTCCGTTGAAGCCTCCCCCTGCTCATGGAGTCTTCTGGCAATCTACCCTAACAGCAGACACAGACTTTTTTTTAAGTTTAGTAACATACACAACATAAAATTTGTCCAAACTATTTTTAAGTGTTCAGTTCAGTGGTATTAAACATTCTTATGCAACCATCGCCAACATCCACCTCCAGAACTTTTTCATTTTCTCAAACTGAAACTGCACTCATTAAACAGTAATTACCCTGTTCCCCTCTCATATACGTGGAGCCATACAGTATTTGTCTTTTTGTGACTTTTTTTTTCTTTTGAGACAGTCTCACTTGTCGCCCAGGATGGAATACAATGGCATGATCTCAGCTCACCGCAACCTCTGCCTCCCAGGTTCAAGTGATTCTCCTGCCTCAACTTCCCGTACATGGGAGAGGCCTTATGTAGTCCTCAGTAGCTGGGATTACAGGCGTACGCCACCACGTCTGGCTAATTTTTGTATTTTTAGTAGAGACGGGGTTTCACCATGTTAGCCAGACTGGTCTTGAACTCCCGACCTTGTGATCCACCCGCCTTGGCCTCCCAAAATGCTGGGATTACCGGTGCGAGCCACTGCGTACAGCCTTGTGACTGGTGTTGTCACTGAGCATAATGTCTTCAAGGGTCATCCATGCTGCATCATAGACCAGAATTTCACTCCTTTAAGGTTGATTAGTATTGTATTGCATGTATTCGCCACATTTTGCCTATCACATCAGCGGGTGAACATGTGAGCTGCTTCTGCCTTTTGGCTACTGTGAATAATGGGGCCATGAACATGGTTGTATGAATATCTGTCCAAGTCCCTGCTGTTTACTCTTTGGATATGTACCCACAGGTAGCATTGCTGGATCATACAATAATTGTATTTTTAACTTTTTGAGTAATGGTCATATTGTTTTGCACAGCAGATTAACCATCTTATATTCCCACCAACCGTGCACCAGGGTTCCAATTTCTCCATATCCTCACCAACACTTACTTTATTGTTTTGCTTTTCAGTCACCAGCCTAATGGCCACAGGGATCCTTGTAAAGGTACAAACTTCACATCTTCCCAGAGGCATCCCAGGTCGCCCCACCTAGCACTGCAGACCCCCACGTGGCCCCACCCCTCACTTGGGAATATTTTCATCTAGTGTCAGCACTAGCTCCTTGTATTGACTGCCTCCTGGCTGGACCCTAAGAGACAGTGACTTTTGCTGGATGCCGTATCCCCAGCATCTAGAACAGTGATGGACGTAGAGTTGTTTAGTAAACTGTTGAATAAATGAATGAAACTTCTCTTTCCCACGAAAATATTGAGGCCCTCTCCTGCCTGTCCACTTCCTCCGGTGCCTTTCAACCGTGGAGCCCCACCTGGGGTTTCAATTCCCCAGTCCAGCCTCTCCTTCCGTGGGCTTCCGGGAAGACCCCTGACAGGAGCCGGCACATTTGAGTGGGGCCTTGGACGTCTGGGGAGGTTTGGACACGTTCCCGAACGCCTCCCTGCTGTGGGTTAGGGGGAGCCTGTCTTGGGTTCGCAGCAAGGAGAACGTGGCTAGGTCGTTAGTGAGCTGGAGGTGGGCCAGCACTGTCAGCGCCGCGCCACTCCCTGCCCCGCCCCCGCCCCCGCCCCCACACCCAACCCTTCCGGTTTTGCCTCGCCTGCTCCGGTCTTTGCACCGTAGAATCTTAGCCCCGCCCCCAGGGTGTCGTGGATCCTCACTATTGGTCTTCTCCTAGAAAGCCGCGAAGCGACCAATTCCTCATTGGCCACACGTTCTCCCGCGCCGCCACCGCAGCCACAACAATCGCCACGTGCTCAATCTTGGCGCCTGCCCATTGGCCACCAGCCTTTACCCGCCCACTCTCCCTCTCCGCCCCTAACTTCCCTCTTCCTCCTTCCATTGGCTCAAGGGCTCTCTTTTCAGACTGAGGCACGCAGCGTTTTGGACGCGGATTGGCCGAAGGCGGGGCCGGGAGGCGGGTTAAAGACCGGGTTGCCGGCCAGACCACGCGTGCTTGAGAAGGTTCAATGGCGTGGCAGGGACTGGCGGCCGAGTTTCTACAGGTGCCGGCGGTGACGCGGGCCTACACAGCAGCCTGCGTCCTCACCACCGCTGCGGTGGTAAGCGGGCCGGGCGGACGGGACGTCGTCTTAGTTACAGCCTCTGGAGGGGGGTGAGGGTCGCCATGGTTACAGCGTGGCTCCCGGGCAGCTCTTGACTGACCCCTGGTTCCACAGCAACTGGAGCTCCTCAGCCCCTTCCAACTCTACTTCAACCCGCACCTCGTGTTTCGGAAGTTCCAGGTGAGACCGCCCCGCGCCGCGCACCTGTGGGCTCAGCCCGCCCACCCCGCACCTGACCGCCCATCCCACGCAGGTCTGGAGGCTCGTGACCAACTTCCTCTTCTTCGGGCCCCTGGGATTCAGTTTCTTCTTCAACATGCTCTTCGTGTATCCTGCGCCCCACGGACACGGGCTGGGTGGAGGGCAGGCAAGCCGGGCTGGGAGAGGCCGAGGCGGGGAAACTGAGGCCCCACCTGTTGCCACTTCCTATACCGACGCCGTAGTTTCCGCTACTGCCGCATGCTGGAAGAGGGGTCCTTCCGCGGCCGCACGGCCGACTTTGTCTTCATGTTTCTCTTCGGAGGCGTCGTTATGACCGTATCCTTCCTGCGGGCTCTGGAGCCTCGGGCCTCGAGGTTCCGGCCTGTGTTGGTCCTGGGGCCTGACATGAACAGCCATGCCAGGAAGGGACAGAGTCGCTTTCTCCAGCTTAGTATGCGTTGAGGGTCCACCGTGTGCTCAGCTGCAGCTGCCAGGGCTAGATCTTCAGAGCTGTATGCAAAATACAAGGCGATGCACAGACAGCCAAGTGGGGTGACAGCCATTAGCTGAGCCCTGAATGCGAGCAGCCAGAGAAACTGGGGCAGGTACAAGCAGTGGTTGAGCCCTGGGATGAGGCTGTAGGTGTGCAGGGCAGATATCGTGGGACCTGAAGCTGCAGAGTGTCGCCTTTATTGGGCAGGCTCATCTTGATGAGGGAATGGCACATAGGGGCAATGAGGAAGGGAATTCCAGGGGCTTCGGAAATCAGAGGGGACCCTGGGCATGGGCTGAGGCCTGCACTGGAGCACCTTGACTTTGGCCCAGCTGCTGGGACTCCTGGGCAGCCTGTTCTTCCTGGGCCAGGCCCTCGTGGCCATGCTGGTGTACGTGTGGAGCCGCCGCAGCCCTCGGGTGAGGGTCAACTTCTTCGGCCTGGTCACTTTCCAGGCACCGTTCCTGCCTTGGGCGCTCATGGGCTTCTCACTGCTGCTGGGCAACTCCATCCTCGTGGACCTGCTGGGTGAGCCTCCCTGTACATCCAGTCTGCCCCAGGCTGGCCACTCCCCTCAGGACACACTGCTTATGCCCTGGGGTCCCCTCTCCTTTCTGTGCTGGACCTCTCCTCACAGCTGAACCTCTCAGCCCCATCTTCCTGCCCTCGCAGCTGCTGTGCTCTTACAGCCCCTCAAACGGCCCACAGGATTTGCATCTTCAGGGCTGACCTGCTGATGACTGCCTGGACCTGATGGGGGTGGGGATGGGCGGGTCACGGCTCCTGCCCCATAGTTCCCACTCCGCCAACATTCTCAAGCCCTCCCTCCCCTGGGTCCTGACTGTTTCTGGGCCATTTAAGCTTGTCCTTCAGGGCCAACCCTGGCCGGCCCTGGGCTGGCACTCTGCAAGACTTTGGGGCATTCATGCTCTGGGGTCTGCAGGGCCTATGGGCCTGACAGGGCCTCCAGGCTGTGGATGAGGGCCTAGGGCAGGCTCTGCTGGTCTAGGACTCTGGGCTGTGGAGAGTGACCCCGCAGTCCATGGCTGTCTCACAGGGATTGCCGTGGGCCACATCTACTACTTCCTGGAGGATGTCTTCCCCAACCAGCCTGGAGGCAAGAGGCTCCTGCTGACCCCTGGTTTCCTGTGAGTGTTGAGAGCCCTCCCTCCCTCCCCCCACCCTCAGATGGTTCCCCCACCCATGGGGACCTCTGCTGGCCTCTGCTCAGCATGGGCCCCTCCCCACAGAAAGCTGCTCCTGGATGCCCCTGCGGAAGACCCCAATTACCTGCCCCTCCCTGAGGAACAGCCAGGACCCCATCTGCCACCCCCGCAGCAGTGACCCCACCCAGGGCCAGGCCTAAGAGGCTTCTGGCAGCTTCTATCCTACCTGTGACCCCTACTTGGGGCAGAAAACCCGTCCTAAAGGCTGGGCCCATTCAAGGACCCACCCGAATAAACAGAATGACCTGCAGCCTCTTGGCCCACGGCACTGGTTCCCCACCTCACCCAGCCACATCCTTCTATGCCTCCCGTCCTCACTCAGTGTGGCCTCTCAGCCCAACTGTAGGTGGTGGGATAGGGGTGCCCATGGTTGCTCGGCGGAGTTTTGAGCTCATAGGAGACAGGCTCATGGTTCTCGTTCTGGCCCAACCAGGGCCTTGGGGAAGTCCTGCCCACCACAGGTCTCTGCTCCCTGCCAGTCAGTGGGGAAGTTCACCAGATTTTGGCTGCCAGGACCAGGACAGGCCTCTCCTAGGTTGTGCTGAGCCAGCCTACAGGTGTCCCTGCCCATAGTGCCTTCAGGCTGATGCTGATCTAGCCTCTCCTGTCCCTCATCAGCCACCTGACAGGTGGGCCTATGCCTAATATTTCATCTGGTAACACCAAGACCCCAGAGTCAGGTGCAGAGGAGGGCCAGGACTGGGTCTTCTGCCCCTTCTATGACCCCAGAGCCTTGATGTTTTCACCTTAGCAGAGTCCTGAGACTGGGTGAAGCAGGGACTTCTGGAAGGTTCTGTTCCTGCCCTTTTTAGCTGAGGACCTTTGTGAGCCTTATCCAAACCCTGCAGCTCACTTTTCTCTTCTGACCTGGCAGCTTTTCTTGTTACTCTAGGCCTGTCTGTATGGTTTATGTCTGGATGCTTGGTGGCATGGGGGCTCCTCTAGCTACAGGTTATCATTTTCATGGTAACAACACTGTTCTGTTGAGTCTGCCCTCCATGTTGTAGCCAGACCTTGTGGAGCAGCAGCTGACTCTGGCATTGTGCGCTGGCAGTCAGGGGTGAGGGCCCAGCCTCCCAGGCACCTCCCAGCCAGGTGGGCCTGCCTGACCTGTGGGGTGAAGCCACCAAGGTTCCTTCCATCCCATCAGTTGTGGGGACACAAGACTGCTTCACCCTTTCATTAACAAGGTTCCTGCCCCATGGACGAAAGGAATAAATATCTCAGCAATGAAACCTGTTCATGTCCATGGAAGATTCCCCTTTGTTCAAGGGCCTTCCAGTAAGACCCAGCTGTCCCTTGCTGGGGGCTCTGGGGAGTTCCATTCTTTGATGGAGGGCAGAGGCCCTGAGTGCAAACTTCCTGGGAAGAGTCCCATGCTAAGCCTTGCTCAAAGGAGCCCCCATCTTACCTACATTCCAGTGACCAAGAACCCCAATCCCTAATCGGAGCTGTTCCTGCCCCACATGGGCCCCACTTCCAAGGAGCACAGCAGTCTCTGACCCTAGCCCTGCCCTGGCAGCAAGGGACCTGCCAACAGCTGAGGGCGGCCTGTGCCCATTCTCTTCAGTAAGGCTGGAGCTGCGAGCCAGTTTGCTGCCCTCCTAGATCTTATGTCCATTTTAAAGAATGGGGACACCTCCATATTACAGATGAGAACACGGGGGACACGAACTCCTTGGAGACAGAGCTGGGAAGGGGCCCCAGGCTGTGTCTCCTCCCTGCACCCTGACAACCCCCAAGAGCTGGCACCAGGCCACAGCGCCTGCTGGGGTGGGGAAAGGGCCCCAGTACTATGGGCACCACTGGAGCTAGAACAGCCACCTGTACCCAGGCTGGCAACAGCCCAGCAGTGCTCACACAGGACCAGGCCTTCTGCCAGGGACTCCAGAACAGCAAGGCCCCAACTGGCAGCAGCCTGATCATCTGGACACAGCAGAAGAGCTCACAGCTCCTTCCTGAAGATGAGCAAGGGGAGCAGGGCTGTTGCTGAAAGGCAGGAAGCCCCTGCCCTGAGCCCCACAGCCATTCTTCTCAGCTTTCTGGGTCTGGAAGGAGAACATGCTGAGAGGACTGAGGTGCTACCAGGAGCCCCATTCACCCCCAACACCCCAACCTGGGAATCTGAGGCAGAGGGGAGAGAGGCCTGCCAGCCTATTCACATGCCACCTTTGTCCCTCCGGGCCCCAGCCCCACTCCTGGCTCTCATTATTTTTATGCTAAAACTTTAAAGAAATTGAACATGACCTGTTGTTGCCTTTTATTTAAAAACTGTAACTAGCCCTGCCTGGGGCTCCTATACAAAAACAAAACACAACCCAAAATCAGGTTTCCTCCAGACCCCAGGGACTGGGGAGGGGTGGGGGCACAGGACTGGGGCTCAGCAAATGGAATGTGTGCCGGGGAAGGCCACCTGGAAGCCCCCACTCCACCCCCGCCCCAATCCTCAGGATGGTGCTGGGCTGTCCCCTCGCCTCTGTCCTTGCCAGAAGATGGAGGAGAGGTGGCCCGGTCTTCTGAGATGCTCCGTGGGAGCCGCATGCCGATGGGCTGGTTACCAGGCCGGGGCCGTGTTGGCGAGACGCCTCATCCGCCTGGAGAAGGAGTTGGGGAGGGCAGTGAGCAGGGCCGGCTTCCAACCTGGGCACTGCCCTTCCTAAGGCTCTCCAGGGTAGCCAGGTGTGGGGGTAGGAACAGAGGCAGGATGTAGGCCCCCAGCAGGGTTGGACCCAGCCTTCTCTCAGCCTCACCTGTCTGCTGCTCAGACCCTACCCATCACTCCAGGGATCCTGAAGCCTGGATCTGGGCTGTGGTCAGATCCAGCCTGAGGAATTATGTTTATTCCCTGCAGGGAAACATACCCTGGGGCCTGGATGGGGCCTCATCACCCAGGAGACTGCCTGCCTCTAGCAACACTAGAGGTACTCTCTTCCAGAGACCATGGGAGACTGGGAAAGGCAATGGCCCTGTCCCTGGCAGGAAAGCCAGGTGACTATGGGCAGAGCCGGACCACAGTGCCAGGGGTACCTTGTGTTCCTGTCCTGGTCGCGGATCTTCTTCTCCATCTCAGCATCTGTCAGAGTCTCCAGCAGTGGGCACCACTGGTCTGCATCGCCCGTGTTCCGGATGGCAATCTCCACCGTGGGTAGAGGGTTCTCACTACAGGGAGGGGAGGCAGTGAGAGGAATAACTTTTCCAGCTATAGATGAAGAGTCCTCAGAAAGCTCTGGCCAGGGGACTCTGGCCCCTGTCTGTGCCCTGCCTCTCCCAGCAGCACTGCTGGCACCCAGGGATGCTCCTGTCACCTGAACCTCAAGGGAGCTGCTGGAGGTGCCAGGCTGTCCCCAGAACAGTGCTGCCACCATGACCCCATGGGCTTCCCTTCAAAGTGAACTTTCAACAGGCCCTTTGTGCCTAGCGTCTGTCTGTCTCTGAGATGGGGGAGGGGCCACTGGCTGTGGAGGAGGTCTTCCTTGACAGGACAGCACAGGCTGGGCCACGCTGATGGGCCAGGCTGATGCCACTGGGCCTCGGTCAGGAGGGCTGTCTGCTCCACCCAGTGTCCAGAGCCAGGGCCCGCTGATCAGAGAAAAGGGATGGATGGCAAATGGGAGCAAAAGAGTCTCCCATAAGTCCCCAGTGCCCCACTACTGAGGCCACTGCACAGCCTGCTCCTGCTTGTTCCACACGCTTGCCCCTCAGCCCACCTCCTGACCCAACCAAACCTCTGAGAGGCTGGTGTGTGCCTAGGGTCAGACAGCTGGCTGGCAGGGAGCTGGACTGAAGCCATATCTCTGGACCACACTCTGCCCTGGGTCTCACAAAGACCACCCAACTCTGCCCCCAGGTACCCTCCCCTTGCCAAGAGGACACAGCGGAGGAGGGGGGCAGCACGGGCAGAGGCTACACAGGCATGGGGTGGGCGCAGGAGCACTGGAGGGTGGCTGGCTGTCACCTTTGGGCCTTGATTTGCAAGTCAGTGTGACGGGATGCTAAGGAGACTACAGCTGTGGATGCCACAGCGCCCATGTGCCTCCCACGTGCAGTGGCTCCTGTCACTCCCACCTCTGAGAGAACAGCTTTGGGTGCTGTTTCCCAGTTGAGTGACACCAAACCCCTGGCCTGGCAGAAAGCCTCAATGTGAGGTCCTAATCACGACTCTCCTGCTTCCCCTCCCCTCTCGTGGTCCTTTCCTTTCTCCTCCACTTGGCACTTGCTCAGTTCCCTGGGAGAAGGCCACCCTGCTCTCCCTCAGCCTGCGACCCTGCAAAACACCGTGAGCTCGGAGGAGCAAGGGCAGGCTGGGTTCAGGGGAGGTGCCAGGCAGACACTGACGGAGTAGAAGACAGGTCCCTGCAGACCTCACCTGGAATATGGAAACATTTACTGCTGTGAAAGGCTGTTGAAGGATGTTACTAAAGAAGCCAATACACACCCACTGAGGGAGCTTTCTAGGGCCAGGGACCTCTCACAGCTTCCCTGTAGCCAGTGCTTGAGGTTGTGGGACCCATCAGCTGCAGAGGTCAGCCTGCAGAGCTCTGGCTCCCCACACCCACACCAGTGCACACACACCCAACACCAGAAGCCTCAAGCCCTTTCCAGGTCAGGCTCAGTGCTGCTCTCCTCAGCCTGAGGTCTCAGGGACTGTAAGCATGCAGGGCACTGGCTGCGGCTGGCTCTCCCTGCAGCAGGCCTGACCCTCACAGCTGAAGCTCAGACCACCAGGTCCAGGCCCATGAAGCCCAGAAGCTCGAGCTCATGCTGGTGACGCAGAGACCAGGACCAGAGACAGTGCTGGCGCCCCACCCCTGTGGCCCTCTGGGGCTGACCCATCATCAGCAGCTCCTGACAGCTGTTCCTCAGCCAGCACTGGGTGGTTTAGCAAGCTAGGGACTGCCCCAGCCTCAAACCCCAAACCTCATTCCTCACTGTGGGGGCTCCCAGCAGCGTTCCTTGGAAGGCAGACATGAAAGGCAGCAAGCCCACACCAAGGGGAGCAAAACGTTTTCCTCTTAACTTAAACAAGAGCTGACGAGTGGGTCCCAGAGGCCCCTTTGTTTACCTCCCCGTGGCTCTGGGAAGATTCCACTCCAATGGGTTTGTTCTAAAATAAGAACTGTTCGAACCAACCATGTAAGAATGAGCCTGGAGCCAGCACTAGCCTGCCTTGGGTTTTGGGGCATGTGGGCAGGGAGACGCCGTCCTGAGTCCCAAAGGGTGTTGGGGGCCCTGGGAGCCACCCTGCTCCTGCTCCCCACTCCTCCCAGTGAATTCTGATTCATGGGCTTCAAGGCCACCAGGGACTCTAGACCTTCCTACCACCCAAAGGGTCCAGGTGTGGACAAAGATACCTAGGCAGGGGATGGTCAAGTCTGAGGTGACAGGAAGCCAGGACTGATGCCAGTGGAGTATCTTGAGGTTTACTTTTTTTCTTTCTTTTTTTTTTTGAGATGGAGTCTTGCTCTGTCACCAGGCTGGAGTGCAGTGGTGCGATCTCAGCTCACTGCAACCTCCGTCTCCCAGGATCAAATGATTCCCCTGCCTCAGCCTCCTGAGTAACTGGGACTACAGGCACGTGCCACCATGCCTGGCTAATTTTTTGTATTTTAATAGAGATAGGGTTTCACTATGGCCAGGCTGGTCTCGATCTCCTGACCTCATGATCCTCCCACCTCCCAAAGTGCTGGGATTACAGGCTTGAATCACCTCACCCATCCGATGTTTACTTTCAATGTGATCTCACTTTCATAACCTCATGTGATACAACAGACAAGTATTATCACCATGTTACAAATGACAGAATGTAGACTTTGAGGGAAAACAACTTGCCCAAAGCCACTCAACCAGGAAGCGGGGATGCCAAAACTTGGTGTCACCTTATGTTTGCAATCAACACCTCTGAGGCTACAGGGAGCCTCAACTGATTTTTACAAGGGTGCCAAGTCCACTCAATGGAGAAAGAGCAGTTTTCATCATGGTGCTGGGACAACATGACTCTGGATTGACAATGGATTCTTAGGTATGAAACTAAAAGCACTAACAACAAACTCAAAAAAAAAACTTGGACTGCATCAAAATGAAAACTTTTGTGCTTCCAAAGGCACTATCAAGAAAGTGAAAAGGCAATCCCCCAAATAGGAGAAAATATCTGCAAATCATGTATCTGATGAGGGACTTGTAGCCAGAATATATAAAGAAGGAGAAAATATCTGCAAATCATATATCTGACGAGGGACTTGTAGCCAGAATATATAAAGAACAATTACAACTCAACAATAAAAAGACAACACAATTAAGAAACTGACAAAGCACTTTCTCCAAAGAAGATAAACAGCCAGAAATATATGCAAAGATGCCCAATATCATCAGTCATTAGAAAAATGCAAATCAAGCCAGGCATGGTGGCTCACACCTGTGATCCCAGCACTTTGGGAGGCCAAGGTGGGTGGATCACAAGGTCAGAAGTTCAAGACCAGCATGGCCAATACGATGAAACCCCCATCTCTATTAAATAGAGAAAAATTAGCTGGGCTTGGTGGTGGATGCCTGTAGTCCCTGCTACTCGGGAGGCTGAGGCAGGAGAATCGCTTGAACCCAGGAGGCGTAGGTTGCAGTGAGCTGAGATTGTGCCACTGCATTTCACCCTGGGTGACAGAGGGAGACTCTGTCTCAACAACAACAACAAAAGACCACATATTAGGTGGTTCCATTTCTATGAAGTACCCAGAATAGGCAAATCTACAGATACAAAGTGGGTGAGTGGATGCTTAGGGCTGAGAGGTGGCATGGAGCTTCCTTTTGAGGTGATGGAAAAGTCCTAATATTGACAGCGCTGACAGTTACACAGCTCTGTGAATATATCAGAAGCCGCCGAACTGTATACTTTACATATGTGAATTGTATGGTTTATTAATTATATTGCAATAAAGCTGTTAAAAAAATAAGTAAAACCTGGCATCAGGCCAGGGCTGGCAGGCAGAGCTTAGGGAGGAACCTCTGAGGTTCATACTCAACCAGCCCAATGTATCCCTGGTATACTCCAATTTAATTCCTGATGCTGTGCCATCAGAGGGACACTGCCTGTCTGTCCCTCACGCAGGCCCAGCTGCCAAGCTCCCTGACCCTTAGTCTCTCTTCATCCCCACCCCGTACATGTAGGGCTGCTGGTGTGCAGAGACCCCCAGGGCAGACACGCTGCCTGATCCACAGGCCATGCAGAAACGGGCAGGCCCCACCTTCCTTCTCG